CAATCAGATTGCAAGATTCGTTATCGTACCCTTAAAAAAAAAATTTCGATATCCAGTCAATGATTCGACTTCCTCATGGCATTGCTCAGATCATGTTTATATTGACTTGTAGAATTGGTACGAGACTGATTGAACCATTCTTGGTGAGCAAACACAAGGGTGATATTCCACACGGACGACTTTTCCGCACATGTGACGTCACAGCGCGTGAGGTAATATCTAAGCCTCTGGTGCAAACACTGAATATGTATCCTCCATGTGTATTTTGCTTTTGGCAAATAAGTTGAGAGGGCAGATTGTAACCGCCGGAAAGTCAATTTCTTCGGGATGTTTTGTGCTCAATACAGTCTTTATTGAACGAATACGGTATTCGCTAACAGCTCTGTTCACCGAAGAAATGTTATAACCACCAGAAGATAGCATCAACAACAACAACCACATCTTTTATAATTGCCTCAGTAAAATGAACTTGAAATAAAGAGAAAGGTCTTTTGACTTGGTTGAACTTTACGCAATGACTCAATGTGGTTGGTTCTTGTCCGCTAACTCAACGATTATCTTAATCAACAACTAGCAAATTTACACAGCGTCCTAATAATGCTTTCTCTTCTCTCTTGGCAAAGCCATACGGTGAACTTGTGGCACCGATTTTTCGTAATCAGTGTTTTTCCTGACAGAGCCAAGCGCTTGGTATGCACTTTGTACATGCTCGAAGAACTGAAGGTATGCAGTCGAATTGTGAGTCAGTTGAATCTCTCATTTATGATTCTCGCCAGCACGAACTAGAATAAGGCGATTGGATTTCCATCTCACATTTTTATAACTTAAACCACCGTAACCTCGAACTTTTGTTTGTTCGCTCACATCTCCCCCTGAGTTAAACACAGTTTGCCAGTTCTTGACGGTCAAAACTAAGGATTCTGTGATCCCAAACATTGAAAAATTACGTAAAGCGATTCTCCATCCGGCCCTTTATTGATTATGCATGGGTTAATTGGGGAGCAACCTCTCAGTGTAATTTTAAACGGGTCATAAGATTGCGGAAAGACGCAGTCAGAGTGAGTCAATGGTTAGAGTTAGGGTTAAGAAAACTCAAGATGTTTCGTCCTCTGAACTCTTTGGCAGACCGGAGTAGATCACTCTAAACTGATTTCTTTATAGATGTACAAAAAAATGGGCAAATCTTGCCCTGATTGTCCTTGTAGGTGAACCCAACGACAAAGATCAAAAAGAAGGAAGACCCTTGTGGAAGAGCAGGAATTAAAGCTAATTGTCGGTTAGTACACTTTGTGTCAAAGCTCGATGCAAACTTTTAACGATTGCAAAAGAAGGTGTGACAAAAGGTTAAGAAAATTAACCCAAAATAAACAAAAGAAAACAATAGTTCTAAAACCAGAAAGGAAAGAAAAGAAAAAGAAAGCAAATTGAACCCCCAAAAAAATGGTTTTTAGTTTCCTTTTATTCATATGACTGAGGGCGTTTTCATTTTCATAATTAATACATTAAAAATAGTTGAGTTTAAGCTTTGATACGCTGGGTGAGAGTATCATTGATTGCCGGAGGTCATCATCAGATCCAAGAGTCGTTTTATCGTGCCACTGTACATTTAAGACATTTGAAATAAATTTCTTTTGATTTATGATATTTCATTGTTTTATTTTGCCATATTCATTAAGGTCAAGTGAGCTCCGCAAGAGCACATGCAGGAGAACTTCAGTTGTAAATCAAAACATAGGCATAGCTAATATAAATTTTGGAATGTCAGCAATACATTGCTTCATGGCAATTCTTCGGGCAAAGCTCTAACAGATTCCACATGAAAAGGCACATTCCGATCCATACGTTTCACAAGATTGCTCTTCAAAGGCCGCAAACATGCAGAAGTATATATCGGGGTTTGTGTCTTGACAATCAGAACGTTCAACAAGCTCCGCTCCTGAGGGATAAATAATAAGGGAGAACCATTTGAATCAAGAAAACAATTCTAAGAATAAAAAAAAACAACAGAAAAGAAATACAGAACAGAGTTAGTTCAATAATCACACGACTCATCGGGTCAAAAAAAGAAAAAAACTGGAACTAGAAACTGTGTTTATTTTGTTGAGTTGGACAATGAAAGTTTGTTTTTATGGACCAATTGAAGTGTTTGGTTATAAAATCGGGAAGTTAAACAACTCTGTAGAATCTAACTTATCGAGTTCCTAGCTGCTCGTGCTTACAGTGACAGACTACTCAACAATTAATTATAAACGCCATTTTGTTCATCGTCTTGGCTACGTTCTAAACAGGTAAAAGTAAAGTGAGCAGAAATGACTATGAGTAGATGGACTAACGCCTTACGTTTATCTAGTGCTCGGAGAAATCTTTCTGCAGCAGAATTCCCCTTCAGATCCCGCCTTACGAGAGACATTCCCATGCCACTGGAAACTAAGCACAGCAAGAGAAGAATTGTCACGGTCATTTTGAAATCTGCCATCTTCTAGCAATTCTGTTAAATGAATAGAGAAAGTATTAAGACAAAGAGTCTTCGGAAAATCATCGTGAGTAATAATAATTGCAGCCAATGGAACAAGATGATAAGTTAGACTCAAGTCAATAGCTCTATCACATTCACGTATATATTCAAGTACAATGTGGAACTCCCGGCGAGTGCAATTTTAGTCTATAAATTTACGAGCGCTTATCTATTTTAAATTAAAAAAGAGGAAGTCATCTTGTTTTTTGTTCATAATAAACATGAAAAGTTTTGAGAGAGCCTTTCATAATTAATTATAAGTAGAAGCCAGGCGTGCTAATCACATATAAAACTGAATTTTCGAACCCTGCGAAAGTCCTTCTGCGTTCGATCAAAATAACTACTCTTCCTCTTTTCTCCTTTTTTTTTTTTTTTTGCCTCTTCATTTCTTTAATAAGATTGTAAGCCCGTAAGTTCAAAGCCCGGCCGAGTGGTTGATATCCTTTTATTTTGCAATGAATCACCACTTCTCTGCACTATCAGTCTAAGAATTGCATTTCTCCTAGCCAATCAGAAGAAAAATTTATTTTTATAGTGATCATTAGATAAGTAATAGTTATTTGTCAGCTATTATTTAATTCTCGCTGTCACCGTTGTGGTTTTATTCCGAACAAATCATTTCATCCTCTCATTCATTATTTTATTCTATTACCTTGAATATGCGATCTATCCTTGCAAAACTACTCAGCCAATCGTGGAAAGATCGCTTTCACATCTGATTAATAATTTGGTTTGGTCCAGTTGTTATTAACTTTCCTTAAGAAATCATATCAAAGGTACACGCAGATACCAGTTTTGACCAAAAGAAAATGCTATGTTGATATGTCGGAGTTGCGTCATTGGAAAGAAGAATACCATTTTAAAAATTAATTTTCTGGGCAAATATACGCTTTCGGCAGTTATAAAAATTTCCATTGGTCTGGCGCAAACAGTCCCTTCCAAATAGGATTATGTTTCTTTATCTTTTTAGCCAGAAAAGAATTACAAGGCTTTTTGGCAATTTAAAAGTTTTACCACTATGCAAAAAATAGAACAGAGCATTTTGGAGCTGAATTTAAGACACTGTTACACCTTACAAGTAAATATTCATGTTTACGCATATCCCTAAGGGATGGTTTTACTGACGTATCCATGGGTAAACTACCATTCTTCTTTTAAGAAGAAATCGGAGTTTAATCGTAGACATCGCACAAGAATGATACAAAAATTGTCACTTTCGTCAAAATCCCAAATCTTTCCCGAACTTAAAGCGATATAAATAGTATCAAGGACAAACTAAATTTCAGTGCAATTAATGTAAGTGAAATAATTTTTTGGCGAAAAATTTACTATGTGAGAACTTGGCATCTGTTTTTCCGAAATATATAATATTTGTGTCAAACGTAGAAGGAAGAAAAAAAATCACCATAAAACACAGAATGCATGCAGTTGAAACTCCACCTTTCAGAAAAGAAAGAAACTGAAACAAGCAAGTGAGCTATGAAATCCCAAAATCATGCGAGTACTCCACTTCTTAAGAGCAAAGAAACAATCAAGGGGCCAGGAATTTTTTACTATTGATAAAATTATGAACTTACCTACGAGTTGATAATAAAATTATTAACTTACCTGGGAGTTGTCTCTCGGAGAAAACTTGTCTTCCTCTAGCTGAAAGTCAAATGCTTATGTGAAAAATTAGAATGGCGACTAAATATACATTTTGAATTATTAGCTCAATGTCGTGATTGGATGTGACCTCAACATATTAAAATGAATTAGCAATCATTTTTCAGTAGAACTAACAATAAATTTCTTTTTTCCTCTTCTTGTTTAATTAACACGTGATTGTTGGAGATATCAAAAATCATTATAATTCCTCAAATAGGATGACAATATGGATTTATTGCGTTTAATAATTGATGAATTAATAAGCTTATCTCTGAGGCTTTGAAAATGATTTATAGTAGATTTGTTGAGATGGACTCGCACGGCACCGCAGTAATATTCCATTTCGCCAATTGCGATGATGTAGAGCTTTTTTAATTTATCTGGCGTGTATCTCTAACTCTACGATACTTGAGTCGTGTCTGTTCATTTTCGTGTTCTATTGTCATGTTAGAAGAACGATTTATGGCTTTAATGACGCTTTTGTTGAACCTTCACCCTTTAAACTGAGATGCTTTTTAAAGTTAAAAAATCTGAATATGAATTAAACACGTACTAAGCAATGCACAATTAATTTTCTGAAAGGACTTCCACGATGTGTAAACACATTTGCCGCGGTCCATTCAACTAAAAGTTGGCGTCAGACGAAGTCTCAATAAAAGGAAACTAATTTTCCTTATTGTAGAGCTTATTTCAGTAATTCGGCTAGCCATTGAGTGCAAAGTTACATTTTTATTATTTAGACTGTGCATGTTAATCAATTCACTTTACAGTTGCTCGACCTATGGCACTTAACTTTTCTACAGTTGAGTAGCTCTAAAAGTAAAATAGCTTAGAGCATTATGAGAATGGCCTAGTTGCTTCCCCGCAACACTTTTGAACTAACATATTAGCTTGATACTGACTTTTAAGCAAAATACATCTTCTAATTACTCGAAAGAAATTGTCCTAATCACTCAACCACCGCAAGAATCAACCCACCTCCAATTGCTGCTTACTTGAATAGTGATAAGGGGAAAAGTAATATATCACGTGAAAAAATCATGAGGGCCGTGTATTTTGGTGAATTTAAAGGGAAATTACGGTCGGAAAATAGACTTAAAATAAGTTTGGAAATGGGATGAAGAATGGAGCTTTTGGGTCAATTTGGCTGAAATCCTGCAGATCACTGAGTTAAACAGGATCTTCTTTTAAATTTAGATGTTCAAGCCCTGAATATTAAAGGCACAGCTGCATATAAATGCCAAATATTACGTGGGCAAGAGCCAAATGGACAAAATGTTTTTTCTTACGCTCAATATTTCGAACACAGTTGGACATCGATTCACTTATATCATCCACCTTGTTTTGTAACGACAGGTAGTCGTTGCGACCACGCTAATGGTAGACCTAAGTTAATGAATTCTGTTCATGTGTGATAATAAAAGCAATTCCACTGTCGTAATTGAGGTTTACGATACTACGATGACGTGGTATGCGGTTTAACACTCTCAGCCTTAACGCTCTCTATGCACGGAAGTTATTCACGGAGACAAGCTCACTCAATTGATTGAAAACCAGCTCCGGAGCCACTGGTAATCGATATCAGGAACGGCATACTTGAGCCAAAGTCGCCTAAAAGGCGGGTAATGGTGAATAAATGGTCGACAGAGTTCGTTTGGTTAAAAGTGGAAGGGCGCGTAACGGTGAAAGCTGGAAAACATAAATATTTTTAGTCTGAGGGTCAAGACCATAATGCGCAGTTCCGCATCAGCTGATGCTCAAGTTAATTTTAAAATAACAAGTTAAGTTATAAATAAATTGAAAGAAAGGAGGATAAACTTCATTTCTGTGGCCGATAATGCCGCTTGGAATTTTGTTTCAAAACATATCGTCAAGAGATGTGGAAAAGGAGGCGTGACAAGCAAGTCGTCAGTTAATGGGGCAAGATTCAAAATGGCAGCGTTTGTAATCTAATTTTGCTAAAATGTCAAAACGCATTCATTCTTTTTATTTTTTAAAGGAATTTTTCAGTGGTCGGATAAATAATACTGTTCCTTTAAAACGTATTTGTAAAAAAAATTGATCTTAATAGATGCTAATTAAGTTTCAGCCGCAGTATTATGAGATTAGACTTAAGAAAGTACGTGTTATTTTGTGAATTTTCAACTTAGTAATAGCTTATATTTGCAGCCGGAGACAAAGAAGTCATTGTAGGCGTCTTAAATTGAGGCAAATATCTGACTTGCAAGTTCTTGCCTCGAGTCACTCTTAGTAAGCGTCACAGATTGCTTTGCTTTATGGCCTAATCAATGATCTGTTGTGATTTGTTTCCAATAATTTGCAAGAAATGTCAATATAATAATTATCGTCTGTGTCCGAAGAAATCATTGGCGATGTGGATTGTGGCGTTTCAACTACACACCGTTACATAAGAGGTCGACTGATCATGTTTGATCTTATGAGGCACTAGCCTTCGTTGTAATTTATTTTATTACCAACAACTTTATTCACGCTTTTATCGGTATGTTCTATAATCGATGATATATTCCCTGTCACACGAGATATATTGAAAAATTGAGATTAAATTCAAAAGGAAAGTGTGAATAAAAAAAAATTCCCTGCACACTCTTTCAAACTCCAATGATGTTAATCCCTGTTACCTCATTATCCAGAATTTCTCTCTAATTTCTCCCATTTTCGCTTGAAAAGGCCACTTCATCCTCAAGTAAACTCAGCTATCAATACAAACAGATTTCCATGAAATATGGATTTTTAGCTGAATTGAACATTTTTTACACAAGTTTCTGTCATCGATGAAGAGTTAGAAAACGTTGAACCCGCGCAAACGATTTCGAGCATAGGGCAGGTACCAAGCGCTTGACATAGATTTTATTAAAATCACATTTGGCAGTCGTGAGACTGAATTAAATGTTTTAAAACAATAACGGATAATCTATCTGCATACGATAAATATAATAATGAAATTTGAA